AGGGAAGGAATTTTAGAGATTCTAAATGCTGTGAGCCACCTGAAGGAGACTTAAGTATGAACAGAATTTCAAGGCAATGGGGAAGGGTTCAGGGAAGCTGGGTAAGAGAAAAGAGCGATCCAAGCAGAGGGAAAGGCATGAGCCCAAGCATAGAGGTCAAATGCGAGGTCATCATAGACCAGGCAGAGAGAAGGCACCCACCCAGAGAGAATGATCTGCCTGGACATAGGCCACTGTACCTGTTGCTCACTCTTACACCAGGGTATTCCATGAATCATATCGATGGAAATATATAACTTCACCCAGTGTAGACTAGCCAAGTTCCTCTGCACTAGAGTGGTTTGAGATCTACCCACCCCGCTTGAGGGAGGTCAGAATTATGTATAATTTAGCTACCACAGCATGACTATCACCTATGTGCAGGTATGCATATTTTTGTGTTGGTAAATACTAACACTTTCTGTCACTTTACAAAGTAATTCTACATATAGTAGTTCCCTTAATCTTCACAACGGCTCCAAAAGTAGAGGTATTATTATCTCCACTCAAAGTTCCAGATTACAAAGACAATGTGAAGGAGCCAGGTCTTAGACCCAAGTCTTTTGACTCCAAATACCTTGCTGTTTTGTCCATAGAACATCTATTTGCATCTTTGCTGCTGCTTAATTATTTAGGACTTAAAGCACCTTATGAGTACATGAGCTCCTCATACCCCTTTGTAATCAGGGGTGCATTCACACACTTGCCAGCACTCAAGAATTATGCTGTCCATACTGGCTCTTTCCTGAGTGACTTGTCCTGTTCATTCCCACTATCCCGGTTCAGGTTCATATTGCCTGGCACGATGGCTCCATTCATTCATGCGTACAATCACGTAGGCAGCCACTATGCTTCAGGCGCTGTGCTAGGTGCTGGGGATCAATACAGTGCCTCAGCTGTCAAAGAACTTACAGTGTAGGGAGGAGACACATGAGTAAATAGGACCTTTAGAAAAATGTGAGACTATTCAATGGAGCAGCCACATGGCGGGGCCCCTAGCATTGCGGACAAGCACCTAATCCAGAGTCAAGGAGTCAGGAAAGTCTACAGCTGAGACTTTAATGGAAAGCCAAAGTTAGCAAATAAAAAGGGTCAGGAAAAGGAATGACATGAGCAGAGGCATGGGTGTCAAAGAAAGCAAAGCAGTTTCACAGCGAGAACTGGATATAGTTTGATATGCCTGAAGGATGAGTGCAGTGGGAAGGGCTGTGGAGAGCTGAGGTAAGCGTCAGATTACAAAGAGGTTGGGAACCATGTTAAAGAATCTGGATTTTATCCAGTGCAGTGGAGACCATAAAGGGGTTTCATGTAGAGTTACATGAGAAGACTTGCATTTTTAAGAGATCTGACTGTGACATGGAGAAAGGATTGGAGCAATACTGCTCCCATAGGAATATAATCTGAGCCATTTATGTAATTTCAACTTTTCTAGCTGCCAAATTTAAAAAGTAAAAATAAACGGATTAAATTAACATTTTATTAGTTAACTACTATTACCAATGTTAATAATATAGTTTAACTCACAAGTATTAGAAAGAGGTACAGCCCTAGCCGGTTTGGCTCAGTGGATTGACCGTCGGCCTGCGGGTGAAGGGTCCTGGGTTCGATTCCAGTCAAGGGCACACACTTCCAGTTGTAGGCTCGATACCCAATCCATGCAGGAGGCAACCAATCTATGTGTCTCTCTCACATCGATGTTTCTCTCTCTGTCTCTCCCCCTCCCACTCTCTCTAAAAATCAATGGAAAAATATCTTCAGGTGAAGATTAACCAAAAAAAAAAAAAAAAAGACAGACAGACGTAAGAAAGAAAGAGAGAGAGAAAGAGAGAGAGGGAGGGAGGGAGGGAGAGAAATGTGAACACATTGGAGAACTCTCTCTAAAAATCAATGGAAAGATATCTTCAGGTGAAGATTAACCAAAAAAAAAAGACAGACAGACGTAAGAAAGAAAGAGAGAGAGAAAGAGAGAGAGGGAGGGAGGGAGGGAGAGAAATGTGAACACATTGGAGAAGCATTCAGGAAGGGGAATAGTAGAAATTTATTACAAATGAACTTTAGTTCATTTTACACACTAGGGTCAAACTAGGGTCAAACTAATCTTGCTGAAATATACCTGTGATTAAGATACTCCCTTACTTTAATTTTTCCTTTTTTTTTTTTTTTTGTCTTTTGCCTTTGCCTTTTCCTACCAAATAAAGCCCAAGCTCTTCAGCCAGCATTGAGCTGAGCCTTTTCTCCAGTGTTTGCATCCTCCCATCCACACAGCTGGGCTTCTCTCTCCACTCCCACCTGCAGAGACGTCCCAACGTCCAAGACCAGGCATAACCTTACACAGAAAGAATGAGAAGACCTCAGCTCAGCACTCTGGGATGTAGCGTCAACCGTTCCTACTGCTAGTCAGGCCCCGTGTTCCAGGTCTAACTCCTGGCTTGGAACTCTGCCCGGTCCCTCTAGGGTGGGGGCCCTGCTTCTTGCTTTCCATTCCTTTCTTTCCTCCTTCCAGAGCTTGGAAATCTGCCCATGAACCTGAGCTCAGTGGCTGGAGCCTGCTGACTGCTGACCGACTTTCTTATTCCCTTATTTCTGATTACATTTCTCGGTGCCACCTGTCCTAGATTGCCCAGTACCAGCACCTCCAAGCCTGAGACTTGTCTCCCACCTTCCAACACCAATCCTACTTGCCTTGGTGACCGCCTGCCTCTGTTTCCGTAGACCTCTGCATATCACTTCTAATGCCTTGTCTGCCACCTAGACTTCCTCGCAGCTCTTGCCCCGTCCCCATGGGCAGATCTAGCCAGTCTGCCTTGTCTTTTGCAGGGAACCAGGCCATATCTAACAGTGTCTTGAGCTATGACAATTGACATTCAATGCCCCGCAGATTAGAGCCCCACCCACCAGGAACACTTTCTCACTAGGCTTGTGTACACTTGACTCCAGTCAAAATAATCTCACTGTTGTTTGCCAGCCATGCCCACACCTACAGACCTCTCGGATTTATTCCTGTTAACCGCTCACCTGAAAAAGGCTTTATCCCATTCCATCCCCCACTTACTGAGGAATTCTTAATAAAGAATAAGCCCCCAAATATGACAATCCAAATCTCTTCCCAACCCTGACTGGAAATTACATCTCCTTCCTCTGAAGTCCTGTGGCTCGATATCTGGACTCCCATTATGGATTTTATTGCCTTTTTATTTTAAATGTCTTATCTCTCTAAGTATATACTAGAGTAAGTAAACATTTTGGAAATAAAATGCATATCTGATTACTTAGCAAAGAAAACTAGGTAGGGAAGAGGGAAAGAGAGACTTGGCCCAATTTCACAACATGAGTAATGGTCCATCGAAGATTATAACTGAACAAGATCATCCTGTTAAGTGCCTGCTTAGCATCCTTAATCAAATCATTCCTGAAACATGGCGTAAGGGCCCCTGTCCCAGTGGACTTAAGAAAATTCACTGTGAGTCCCTTAGGTAATATATATATTCCTTATTGTCTTCCCTTTCTATTTGGAGTTATTTTTTTGCATCTCTCCTTCCTCCCTCCCTTTCTGAATGTGTCTGGAACCCCCATCTCTCACCCCAAAGTTCTATGACTCCCCAAACAGAACTGGAATAAATTGCCACCTCCTTGAAATCCCTCCACTTCTTCCTTTAAGCATCTACTGGGCCCATAAATTTGATAAAAGGGGGCACAGCAGCTTTCTTCCCTGAGAGAAAACTCAAGGACCCAGGGAACAACCCAGCAATGCCCTCCCCTGCCTATCTTTGAACAATTCAATGGTAATTGAAAAGACGCAGGTAGGAAAACCAGACTGACAAGTGGGTGTTTCTGTTTTTGATTAAGGGGGGCAAAGTTCATTCCTGCATCCTGTATAATACACAGCTTCTTGTTCCCAGCAGTATATCTAGCCATGGAGGGCCCACTGCCCTCTTACTTTGCCAAGTCTATGTCATGGTGTGATGGGGGAGAGTTAAGCAGATTGTATACCCTTTTCCAGCTTTCCTCTTAGGAGCTCCAGATGCTTTTTAAAAAAATATGACAACGATCTCACCAATCCCTGTACAGTAGCAAGAAACATTGCCAACAAAAATCAAATAATTATAATCCACCCACCATAATGTCTATTCTACCTGCATTATTCTGCAATATTAGGCATCTGAGTGGCAATATACAGTGCCAAGTCCAAGGCCGTGAGGTCTGAAGGCCCAATGGTCAGGAGTCCTCTGATGCTAGACAGACATCAAAGTATCAGGTTTTCTGAAGGAAGAAGCATTTAATTATGATCAAACATGCTTCAAAGTGCTTTCAAGTGGTCAGTCGCTCCTCCCTGCTTCCCTGTCTGGGCAATGAGCTCCATTTCCCTGATGAAGGAGTTGTGTTTCCTTTAGAAGCATCAAAGAGGATTCTCTCTGGCCCCACAGATTTGATGTTTCAAAATCCCATGTGTCCATGTTGAGATGAAATGGTCAAACCCTGTCTTCCAGGTGCTTTGCCTTGAATTGGAGACCCCATGTCCTTTGGCAGGTACCTGGCAGGCCATCAGGGGACAGTCCTCAATTAGAACCCACATCCTTTTCTGGCCCAGCATGGGTTAAATTAACTTTCAAGGTTTGGGACAAGAATTAGTCTATTGATTAGCTTCAGAACTGGATGGATCCTCTAGGGCAGAGGGGGTGGAAGGAGATGATTCGGGTATCATTCATTAGAGTATCTGATGTCCAGAAGCTAAACATGGGGAGCACTTTAACAATAAAAACAAACCCAGCTACATAAGTCTGAGAAAACATTATTTCTCTTTCTACTGAAAATAGATTTTTATAATCTTGAGAGTGCACATGGGCATAATCTTTTTAGAGCAAAATTTGGCAGTATTAAAAGCACGCATTCACTTTGAACAAGTAATGTCACTACTAGGAATTTATCCTATGAATATACATGGAATATTCAACAAAACATATGTACAAGAATGGCCAACAAAGCATTATTAGTCATGGTTTTAAAAATACATCAAAATGTCCATCAGTGCAGGGACGGGCTAAATAAAAATGGCACACCCATATAATGGATTACTACGGACTGGTTAAAAGAATGAGATGGATTTGTGTGTGCCCATATGGAAAGATTTTGAAAACACATCATTAAGGGGGAAAGGCCGGGTACAGAACAGTGTGTAGAGTATAATTCCTTCTATGTTAAAATGCACACATATTTGTGGGCATGGGCACTTTATGACATTCAGGCATATGCACGAAAAAATCTCGAGAAATGGTTAGCAGTGGTCAACTTTCAGTCAAGGACTTGAAGCAGGTGGAGAAACAGCTTCAGGGTCACTTAACAGGGTGGCATTTAGGAGAAAGCTCAGGGACCAGTTTAAGTTTCTTATTTGTATTCCCCATTGTTAAAAACATAATAAATATTCTGTTATCATTTTAAAGGTTTTTCTAAGTTAGTATCTTCAACCTCAATTGGGTATGTGGTCAGAGAGAGAACAAAAAAAAAGATATTCACAGAGAGATCAGTAATACCCTCAGCAGCTAAGCTAAAGAGGAAGTATTCCAGTCCACAGAGGAAGATGCTGGCCTCTGCAAAAATGTTTACTGCGCGTGAGGGTGGAGGGGGAAGTGGAAAGAAGAAGAGTAATAATTGCCTCATCTGGGTTTTTAATCGAATTTAATTTTTTCTACTTACTTTACTTTGGAAAGGGGACTTTGATAAGAGGAACTAGCCCTTGTGGGAGAATGTGAGGGACCAAAATGTTTTCCTAGCTCTGCAGAGAGTCAGAAGGAGCGCTCTTATCCTTTCCTCACCCACTGGCCAATCGAAAGGCCAAAATAGAGGTGTTCAGAGGGAATGTTGACAGAGCTGCTTAGCAATGGGCCTGGAAGAAGGAGGAATATGAACCAGCCCCTGAGAACAGACCTTCAAGAGCTGCTGGTGACTCAGTTACTACCGAACAGCAGGACTCTTTTGTTTTCTTGAGCCTGGGAAAGAAAAGAAAGAAAAAAACCCTTTTGCTTTTGCAAACAGTCTTGAATTGCAGTTTCATTAATCCATTTCAAGGTCCAGGTTGGTGTGGCATAGGCAACTGTTTACCCAGTGAAGCGATAAGGCAAGGCTGAGCCTCCAAAGAATCCACCAAGTCTCGCCTGTCACACAGCTTCCGTTTATGATCCACATGGAGGCTTTCTATTGGCCAAGATCTACCTCAATGGATTTCATAATGGAGTAAAATTTATCTGAGTAAAATACTATCTGGCATAGGCCTAGATACAAAGCCTATAGAATAAGCATGACTTTAACATTGTTTTCTACCTGATGGCGCTCCCAGGGCAGGCACAGAACTTTCCCCTCTTCTCACTCACCATCCGATTATTCGTCACTAGGGCAGAAGAGGATGGTAAACAACATGATAAGCCTTGTTGGATAGTTTCTAAATGTTGGAGCTTCTTCAAGGAAGTGGGCACTCCCTCAGGGGAGGTTACTTCAGCCAGTTACAGGGCGAATGAGGCCAAGGTCATAAGCTTATTTACCCTGAGGGCCATTAGCTTTGATTTGTTTCATGACCACATCCTGCATCCCTCAACCCAAACAGCTGTTTCAAAAATGGATGCCCTTGATGACAAGAGGGACTGGTCCAAAGTAAAATAGATGTGTTAGTTCAAATTCAACATGCTCCAGGAAAAATGAATCAAAGCACATCAAAAGTATTAAAATTACATCACCTGGTATTTGTTCCAAAGAGATCAGGAATAATAACATCAAGCAGACCTCAACAATCTGCACCACTGCTAGGTTGGTCATCAGACAAAAATAGCTACATATTCACAGACAGCCATTTCTTCTTAAGGAGGAGACTATCACACTAACTCTGAATCCATTTTTCCAATAAAATACGTCTTCAAAGAAAATTATTTCATTTAGCACATAAAGAATGTTCTACTTGTTTACAGGTGTTCCCCCAGGGAGGAAACTGCAGTCAAGATGAGTTCTATCAAAGTCTGTGCCCTTATAAGCTCAATTCTAAGTATTTTATGTAAAAACTAAATGCATTTTAGTCACGACTTGATCTGTGTATTTTTCATGCTAATCAGATACTGATGTTTTTCTCTTATAAACTGTTAGTTCTTTAAATTGCCCCTCACAGTTCTTCCCTCCAAACATGTTCTTCACCCACACACCATGCATAAAATACCTTCTTTATATTCCGCAGAACCCAACACTGATGCTTTTCCATCATTAATACAAAGAAACAAATTTACAAACTGTCTTTCCTCACACTTCAATCTATTTTCTTGCTTTTGAAGTTTCAAATATAATCCACAAACATAATCTCTGAAATACCACATGCACCAGTATCTGACGCACATATAAAGACCTAAAATTGCCCAGCCTGAATGGCTCAGTGGTTGAGCATTGATCTATAAACCAGGAAGTCCCAGTTCGATTCCCAGTCAGGGTATATGCCTGGGTTGCAAGCTGGATCCCCAGTGTGGTGCGTTCAGGAGACAAGCTGATCAATGATTCTTTCTCATTGATGTTTCTATCTCTCTCCCTCTACCTTCCTCTCTGAAATCAATAAAAATATATATATTTTTTAAAAACCTAGAATTAACCTTGAGGGCTGTCTCACACACTCACCTTGACCTAGAATTAGCCTTGGGGGTCATCTTACATACCTTGAAATCTAAGCACATGTGCAACTGTAAGCTCTCTAATCTCAAAATAATGAAAGCTTGCAACACTACAAATAAGAATCACCATTTTTAATCCCTGGTCCCAGAAAATGGGCAGCTACACTGCTCCCTTCCTGGTATGAGTCTGTCCTCTGGGGGAGGAGAGAGCCTTGCCTCCTCTGTTCCTTCCTATAGGTGTCCCCTGAAAGACTGAGTCTACAGGAGGCTCCCAGATCCAACAGTGTCAGGTGTACAACTCTGCCAGGGGGCTGAAACAGGACCTTCTCTTTCAGAAACTGACCCACCTACCACTGCTCATTGCCTTCAAAGAGCACTGAAGTCAGCCCTCAGGGAAAGATACAGCTAATTTTCTGGATATTGATTCTATTTTGGAAATGATCTGAGAAAGTGTGTCACCCTAATCAGAGAGACGTATGTTGACCATGTAGGTCTTGACCCAAAACCTGAGGCATGTTGATTGGACCATGGATGACACATTGAATCAGGCTGAGGATAGAGATACTGGGATATGGAATCCATACCCTCTTTCCACCCTAGTATTTCTATTCTTCCCAGCTTCTTTCAAGAACCTCTCCCAGTTCCTCATGGGTTATCAAGCTACCCACAGTTCCTCTGTTTGCCCCCCATAAATGGGGCAGTATGTAAAATAAGGGGCCCAAAAATCCCTCCAAATCATGGAGGATTATATATGACCATCATTTTACTTAATAAAACTGTATAGATATCCCTCCCCACTTACTACTAGGTTATGAAGTCACTAGGAAAAAAAAATCCTGCTCCTTTTATGCCCTTTCTCTTCTGTTTATCTTTGATATCCCCCCTTCTCCCTGCCTAGCTTTTCCCTTCTTCTCTACCCTATAGTACAGAGCCCCTTTTCTTCTTTACTTCTTCTGTATAATTCTAAACACAGCCTCTGCCAATAACCCTGAGCTCTTGCTGCATCATGCTGATTTGCACCAGCTGTGCTTGTGGTGGTGAACCCATACTTATAACAGGGTCTCCTTAGATCTTCCTCTGGAAACAAGACTCCACATATACATCTAAAAGTCATGACCAGTGGGAAGGAAACTGCGCCAAGGATAAATAGACCCTGCTTTGAACTACTGATCACATTAAATAAGAGAAAAAATACAACTGGAGAAAAGAAAAGTGCTACCCAGAGTTGTAGCTTAAAGATTTTCTTGGATCTGTACAGCAAACTGTAAAATGATCTGTTCATTTAAACATCCCACTTCCAAATTTACTGTTAAATTTCTCAATACTAATGGGAGGAAGAGGCAGGGCAGGGAGTGAAGGATGGGAAGACTGCCATCAAGAAGGCTTCCAGTGACAATATAAAGTGTACTCCCAGATTAAAACAGAGAAGCCAGGAACTTCATCATATAACTAGAGTTTGCAAAGCTTAGTCTTTGACAATCTTACACAATTGTAAAAAGACAAGTGCATGGAGCAGCTGTTGGGAGTTCGAGTCAAATGATGTTATTCTGCAATTTGGGGCAAATCAGAATCTTGGATTGTGAGTTTTCCTATCACCTCCCTCCCTAAGGGGTCACTGGCAAAGTTACCAGATAGTTTGTGTATACTGAACGGTCTGGCCCATTTATTTTCCATTATGAAACGATGTGTAACGGTCGTGCGGTTGAACATGACCTGATATTGTGAATGACCATCATTAAAATGTAATTATCCTTCATCTCTGCCCTAGTGCAACTATGTTCCAGATTCTCCAAACCAAACTGCATTTGTCTTAGCTGCATGGGACAAATGCCATTGGTTTTGTTGAAACCAAAGTCATCCAGAGTGTAAAATTATTTATTCGTTTCAAAGACTCTGGCAACCTCCAAATCAGGGACACAAACATGATCCATCTGATGTAAGAGGACATCAGCAGTCTAAGAAAAATACGGTGAGGCTAACCCTGTATAAAGCTCATCTACTGACAAGTTAGGTTCCAAAAGGCTTTCTTCAAGCCTGCTTCTCTGTAAGTCCAGGAGGACATGAAACAAGCCACTGCTAACAGTCTCCTGTTGAGGGCAGGCAGAAAGGGTGCACTTCAACTCGGGACAGCTTCCGTCCATCTATAGAAGGTCTTAGGTTGAAAATGTACAGGAGACAGAACTTCTATACTCACTTTCTGCACTTGAAGGAGTTAAGAGTACGTTTCTGCCCACTAAAAACAGCAGCAACATGACTTCAGGGTTCCCAGAACTCATTATTCTGTCAAACTTCAAGCACTGAGTTCCTGAGCAGCAACAACATTAGAACAAAAATGGAGACCCCACCAGCAGGAGCTTGGTGGAGGAACTATTTACCAGGAGGTAAAAGCTTACACGGCCCTTCCTGATCTGAACCCCACCCTCCTTTCAAGCCCATCTCCCCCTATACCAGTGATGGCGAACCTATGACACGCGTGTCAGAGGTGACACGCGAACTCATTTTTTTGGTTGATTTTTCTTTGTTAAATGGCATTTAAATATATAAAATAAATATCAAAAATATAAGTCTTTGTTTTACTATGGTTGCAAATATCAAAGAATTTATATATGTAACACGCACCAGAGTTAAGTTATGGTTTTTCAAAATGCTGACAGGCCGAGCTCAAAAGGTTCGCCATCACTGCCCTATACCTTCTACTTGGAACCCTGTCTTCCATCCATATTGAACTTCATTCCCCAGTCCCTCTAGCCTCTACACCTTTGCACATGCCTTTCCCTCTGCATGTGCAAAGGCCTTCCTTTCCCACCCTCATCATCACTTACTCCTGCAGTTTATTAATTACTCTTAGCTTTTCCTAACCTCCCAGATTCAGATAAAATGTGCCTCATACATGCTCCCTTGTAACCTTGTATTTCCTTTTAATTGCCCTGAGCACATGTATGATGCCTTTTTAAAAAGAATCTATATATCCCACTGAACCATGAGTTAGGGGTTATATCAGTCCTATTCACAGCAGTTATTCAACAAATACTTATTGGGTAAATGCCTCAATTCACTATTCCACATTTACTAAACTAGGCATTAATATATTTGAGATGCTTTATTTAATGCTATCTGTCACTTTAGTAACCCTTTTGTCTTGTTTGACATGTTTAATTATAGAATTGTAAAAGTACAGAGAAACACACAAATAAATAATCATGTTCACTTTACTACCATTCTGGAATTAATAAATGTTAACAGCTGTACATTGTGCATATTACTTGCAGTTTATTTAAGACTGTTTTCAAAGGGCCAAACTCAAATGGTTTTGTGATCAATCCTGAGTTAACCAGAGAGAGAAAATTGAAACAACATTAATGAGCACTTGCTATATGCCAATCATTGTCCTAAATTGTTCATATACATTGCATATTGCCTTCAAAAGAATATTATTCTCCACATATTATAGATGAAGAAACTGAGATTTAGAAGATTAACTACCACCCAAGATAAAAATACATCTGGTAAATGTCACTACTATGCCTAAACCAAATTCTATTTAAATCCAAAAAACCCATGGGGCTTTCCCCTTTATTATCTAGATCCTCAAATCCTACCCGTGTCTGGAAGGAACTTGCACTTTTTGAACCATATATTTAATTCCTCCATTCATTTTATTTTATTTTATTTTTTTAATCCTCACCTGAGGATATTTTTTCCATTGATTTTTAGAGAGAGTGGAAGGGAGAGAGAGACAGAGAGAAACACCGATGTGAGAGAGACACATCAGTTGGTTGCCTCCCACATGCCCCGACCAGAGCGGGGAGCCTGCAACCAAGGTTCCTTGACCAGAATCGAACTTGGGACCCTTCAGTCTGCAGGCCGACACTCTATCCACTGAGCCAAACCGGCTAGAGCTCCTTCCTTCATTTTAAAAATGTAACTAATGAGCCATGTGCTATCTCATGAATGCACAGAAAAATAAGGTAACCAGGGCCCTGCATTCACAAGCATTCTTGTTAATTTAGCTGGAGAGTAAGAACTAAAGTGGTTATGTAATGGACATTCTCCACTGCAAAAGAAACATGCAACCACCAAGGCAATGAGAAAATGGCACCAATAGGCTGAAAGGACCTACCACACACAAACCCTCTGTTCAAGGATGACAAACGACGACTTCATTCATACCAGATGGCCCCCAAAGTTTCTCCTGGTCCTACCATGACTAGAGTCTTGTGGCTGTGGTGGGAAAAGCTTTTACAAGGTGACTAGATATTTAAGAGTCATAGTTAGAAACTGGCTGTCATTTATGATTTCTACAGGGCCGTG